TTATTCCCTCGACAAATCATGCTACATACTCAGAAATCATTGTGTAACAGTCCAAGTATCAGCTATTGCCCGATTTGAGGATGGCGCGCTCGGTCGTTACTGGGGCCACCGCGGGAGGCCGCCACTTGTGCACACGTGCGTGCGCGATAAAACTAAATTGGCGCGCATCCGAAGAGAAAAAAAAAGGAAAATGCGCTCAAGGTCACTATGTGCTCGTAACGTACCTTGTTGCTTAGTGCCATCCCTCGCTGATCAGCTTTCAGCCTTCCCGTCGGGACGAGAGTGCAGCGTGCGGCAAATTTTTCTAACTCCACTCGTACTGGACGTATAAAAACCTTTGCGGCAGCGAATTTCCGAGGAAATAAGCTGCTTTAGTGAATCCATTCCATGGCTTCTTGACAAAGTGTTGCAGGGCTTCTTTAATCCTCACTCTGCACGCGGATGCACTGCTGTTAACGACTACGCACGCGTACGAAGTGTGGAAACGTACCGTAGGGGAAAAAAAAATGTAGCCAGCTTCGTTGAGCTGACACCGTTGAAACAAAGACGACAGCGACGTCCCTTTGAGTATGGCTCACCCTCACCCATACTTACGCATCTCTCATTCGTTCAAACTATCCACCGAGCATCGGCTTCACACATCTTGGCACAGCGCAATGTTTCCCTTTCCTATCGTGTCTCACGCTCTGGCCACCCCACAAGGCCACGTGACTTACGCCATCATGGGCAGGGTAAGCTTCGACTAGGAACAGCTTCGTTCTATGTACAAAAAACGAAACAACAAAGAACTACTGACTGGTACGTCAACCAACTGCATTACAACCAACTAGGCTAGTGGTCATCAGCATTTGTGCGCCCAACGCGTGTGAGTGCTCTTCCTCTCTCTCTTTTTCCATTTTTCAAATTCTCTCATCCCTATCCCAAGTTTAGGGTAGCATACCGGTCGCTCCAGACTGGTTAACATCCCTGCCTTCCCTTTCCTTCTTGTTCCTCCTCTTTTGCACTACTTTCCTGTTTTCTTTTTTTTTTATCATTGCATAAATATGTTCTCATGGTCCTGATAAAATGCCGCCTCACCGCGGTGGTCTAGTGGCTATAAGGTACTCGGCTGCTGACCCTCTGGCCGCGGGTTCGAATCCCAGCTGCGGCGGCTACATTTCCGATGAAGGCGGAAATGTTGTAGGCCCGAGCACTCAGATTTGGGTGCACGTTAAAGTACCCCAGGTGGTCGAAATTTCCGGAGCCCTCCACTACAGCGTTTCTCATAATCATATGATGGTTTTGGGACATCAAACCCCACATATCAATCAATCAATCTGATAAAACGCCTACTTGTGTAAAACCAGTGCCCCCCCCCCCCAATGAATATTAAGCCCAAGAACAATCAATTTATTCAAAAGTGATAGGATTATTCCTGCTGCACATTGTGCAAGGCAGCCAATCATGATCAAAAATTCAATCCGGATCAGTCAGGCCCGATCTCAATCGAGAGTGACCGTTTGACACTGGTGCATTCGCCCCCCCCCCCCTCTTTCCCCTCAAACCAAGTGCCCGCTTTCACGATGCTCTGATGTACCAGCATGTGAGGTACATCAGAGCATCGTGAATTCTCATCTCACGCACGCTCAATCGACGCATGAAAACAACACAAACAGGACAAGAGTGAACTAACAACTAGCACTGTTTAAACAAAAACGACGCACGAAACGTAATCACTAGCACAGACGAGTGCGAACTAACAAGTGTCCTAGTAATATTTCGCTGTGTATGAAAAGCGCGCTCTTTTTGAAAACGGGGCCTGTGCAGCGAGCGAAGTGACTTTTGTGGGCCCGGCAACTATACTTGGCGACAACTTTTCTTGGCACTGAAAGGAAAGCTACGGAGGCGTAGCTTGTGCTTATGTAGCACTGCGCGAAGCAGTCCGTTTTGGCGAACGTCTCGTAACGCTGTGAAAAGTGACAGGCGAGCACCATCAGCGCTTCATCTAGACGGAGACGCCACCTAGCGTTTGAGGTGGACGTAAAAAAGCATCAATTTCTCACGCGTTCAAAGACGCGAAATCAGAACAGATAATTTCTAAAAGTAATTCGAGCATGAAAACTTGACACGATCACTCACGCACGCACACACGCATGCATCAAACAGACAACGCTCACTTCCAACTGATTTATTCATAGCTCGAAGGCTTTATTATATACAGGACACCTTGGCGCACACACACCAAAGAAGGCCAACAGCATACATTATCCAAACGTACAGTTAATCAATGTCATAGCTTTAGAGCGATAAACTGAAGTTCGCTTGGTAACAACGAAATTGAAGGGGCACTTACACAGTGATCTTTATTTTTTTCAATGAAAAAGGCCTGTAACACTTCACGTGCAGTTTTACTTGCGCTTCTGCCCAGAATTTTCGTCTCAGAAAATCGTGCGTCACAACCACATGAGATGACATGCGCAACCAGGTGCGCATACTTGTCATCTATTTTCGTTAATATTTGGGCGTGTTCCCTTAATGGGTCATTAATACACCGTTCGGTTTGGCCAATGTTTACTTTTCAGCAGGATAAGGGTATGGAGTACACAACTTCCATGGACCACTTAACAAAGGCCCTCTCATGTTTCTTCTGACAGCTGGCTTCTTTCTATCGCACACACGTTGGCACAGCCTTCCAATTTTTTCTGCTGCGGAAAAGACCATTGGTACGCCGTGCCTGGCCGCGACTTTCTTAAGGTTGTGTGAGACCTTATGGATATAGGGCACAACTTGTAGCCTAATCCTTAAGGGCTTGGTAGAAGTCATCACTTCCTGTGTTCACGTTTAAACTTCTGCAGAAGTGTTTCAGCAACGGCCGTAATGACCGATCGAGGGAACCCAGTAGCCTCTAGTCGGCTCACCTGATTAAGGAAACTAAGTTTCATACTGTGTGGGCACGACCTTTTTAGCGCTGATTCTAAGCAAAGAGACGCAACGCCCCTCTTCACAATCTTTGAGTGGGCAGAATCGTACGGCAACAGTTGCTTCTCAACACGAGGATGATAAGACCAGCAAAGATGCTCCTCGTTCCACGTGAGGCTTAAGTCTAAAAACTGCAGACAAGCTTCTTGAGGCAATTCAACAGTAAAGAAAAGCCCTCGTCCTAGTCTCATAAAAACGTTTAAAATAAAATCAGGGGATGTAAGGTCACCCTGTTTATCTAAAAGAATTAAAAAATCGTCAACGTACCTAAAAACCTTTAAAACCTCCCCCGCTTTAAAAGCATTGTCCAAGTCCCTATCTACATCCGCTAAAAAAATATCGCAAAGGACCGGTGCGACACAGGAACCAATGCAGATTCCTTGCCGCTGAAGAAAGGGCTTTTCGTCAAACATAATAAAGGTTGCATTGAGATAAAATTCTAAAAGCGATAAAAAATTGTCTACATAAACGCCCGCGTCATTGATAAAATCGACGTCACCATTCTCTTCTATGCAGGATTTTACAGAGGCTAGAAGCTTGCCATGCGGCACGGAATAGTAAAGATCTACAACATCCACTGAAAAGGCGTTGCCTGTGGTAACGCGAGACCGCAAAAAGTCGCACACATCACTTGAGCCCTTCGTACGGAAAGGGTCATTCCCCACAAGATTCTCTAGTTCAGTAGGGTTGAGAGCTGGGCTAGTTGGTGAGATATGATTCAACCATATGGTGTAGTAGCGCAAATTCACGGGGACGAAGAGGACAAGAAAACACGACACTCGCTACACTTGCAACTAATTTTTATTTCAGAAGCAGCACTTCATATATAACCCATAACCCTAGCGACACAGAAAAGAACTACGAACACTGAATCATTTCCAACAGAAGCTCTTGCGCAGACTGAAGCGATAGTACACGGCAGTTAAGCTTAGACACTTGACATAACTAAAACAGCCCTGGGTAACATCAAATCAAAAAATTAGTTGCGAGTGTAGCGAGTGTCGTGTTTTCTTGTCCTCTTCGTCCCCGTGAATTTGCGCTACTACACCATATGGTTAAATGAGATTCTCTAGCTTGCTCTGAAGAAATCTGCTAACGTTAATATGCCAAGACCCTCCTTCACTAACAATAGTGCGAAAAGGTACACCCGGTTTGTGTGTCTTGGCCGAGAAAAAAACGTTGAGGTTGCTCCCTTTGCTGTTTTTTATGTCCTTAGCTAACATTGTAAGCCCAGCATTCTTGCAAAAATCAGCGAACTTAGACCTAACGCGAGTCGCTCCCAACTTAACTGGACGGAAGTTCTTTTTTATAGCCGTTAGAGCCTTTTCTTTGTAAGCTGCCTCAGGCATGACCACAAAGCAACCTTCTTTGTTGGCTAGCATTAATGTTAATTTGTGGTTTTTAAAGAACGACACGATGTTATTCAAGCCTTTAACTTTAGGTCTATCTTGATTCTGGGGTGCACATTCTAGGCGAAAGTGTTGTGGCTCGGGCGAGTTGGTTATCCATGAACTTAGCTTCTATTAGCGCGGCACATATGAAAAGGAAAGAGGAAAGAATACAGAGACGTCAAGACAGGTAGGCGCTAATAGTTACCTGTCTACCTGTCTACCTGTCTTGACGTCTCTGTATTCTTTCCTCTTTCCTTTTCATATGTGCCGCGCTAATAGAAGCTAAATTCTAGGCGAATTTTTCGTTGAGCTAGTTGGTGCATGTTTTACGCAAAAAATAAGGCACACAGAGACAAACCCTAGAAGCGATATGGACAAACGTGACATGTCAGTAACATGGACGAGAGACATGGATGATGCATTCTTCTATGCTACTTCTTGTGTGCTTCTTGATTGAGCCTTATTCCTTCACGAAACATCTGCTTCACTATATCATAATTTCTTACCGCCCCGCCCCCAAATTCTCACTTCTTAGCCCTAAAATTCTTTCTCACTTTAACACACTCACTTTCTACCTATAACGTAACCCCACATGCTCCCTTCATAACCCTAAAAAACTACCATGCTTTCTCGACCTTGAAGTGTACTCACTGCGCGTTTTGCGGAACGTCTCGTCCAGCATCTTGGTCATGGCGGTCTGGCAGCAGGGCAGCTTCTGCTCGCAGCAGCTCAGGTCAGAGTTGAACACGTTCTTCGAGTTGATGGTGAAACCTTTCTCGTCCTTGATGCGCTTCTGGAGGGACTGCGCCACCGTCTCGTAGCCCTGGGAGTCCTCCTGGACGATGCTGAACTTGCGCCAGTTGTAGTAGCCCAGCAGGGCGGTGACGCTGCGAACGACCTGCGCATGCGCGAAATACACATCGGAACAGCTCGTAACAGATCTGAGCACGAATGGGCAACACTCAAGAAGAGAGGACGAGCGATCGCTACCGACTGGCTTTGTTCAGAAAAAGACTCCCAAGCATTTCCCCCGAGGGTGAACATGGTTAAGTGCGAATACACGGGGTGATGCTATGAGGGGTATTTATTAATTCGCACTATTATATTTATTAATCACACTATGGTGCCTTTATGGTGTAATGGTTCCTGGGAATCGCAATTTGATCACACGGGGGAGTTTACGTTAACTCACTGGCGAATGCCAACGGATTTTAACTTTACTGCCCCTCACGACCCGCTCTCGACGGGAGACTGAGAGAGAAGGCGGGCGCGCGAGAGAGAGGGGTGCAAGCGCAGCTGCAGCGAGCGAGGAGAGCGGAGGAACGAGCGAAGGGGGAGGGGGTACAAGGCGCGTTACTGACACCGATATCAGCGTCGCGTCCGAGGCTTATTCGGTAGAGCGTCGCGCTGCGGCCCGCCAAGTCCTCTTTTTTTTAAAGATAGAGAGAAGACTGCGGACGCCGCCGACGGCGGTGGATGGTTTGGGGTCGCTTATAAAGTGTATTCACACTTAAAAGCGCGTGAATATACAGGCCCATATACACCACAGGCGCACCTGTGCAAACATCCAGCAAGAAAAATAAAAAAGAGTAAAAAAATGACAGAATGAAAAAAAAAAAACCTATCTCAAATTTCGGTCGACCAACTGAAGCTCTCTCTTGCAAACATACTGTTTGATTAACACAATCTGTGCCTTTTTTTTTTTTCGCGTATAGAGAGGCTAAAAAAAACTCGCGTGTCACGGTGTCTCCGCTGCAACCCAGCGCCTTCATATCAGTGAACAGAGGTGCACTATCGTGTGCAATACGAGTTCGAAAGCGTGAGTGGTGCGTGGCCACGGAAATACAGATAACGTCGACTGGTTACAGATAAATACAGATAACGCCGCGGAGACCGCCGACTGGTTCGTCCTCCGCGGTCTCCCGATGCCGTGCAGCTCTCGCATTGTGGCGCCCCGCCCTTGGACTGCTTCGACCGGATCCCCACTTTCCTATCTCCTTCTTTTTTTTCCGTCGCTTGCCTGTCTATTTCTTCGTCTATTTTCCTCCTATTCTTTTTATCCCTCCTTCCCCACCCCTATAAGGCACTGCGCCGTGTCGCCTGAAGGCAGACAGAAATTAGGTGCCCTTTTCCTCTTCCTTACAACCACCACCACCGTATACCCGCATGATCGTCGCTGTGAAACGGCAGTTTACCACGTGCCATCGCCTTCTAGCAATGATAAAACAAAAAAAGATAAAATTAACCGAAAACAAGGATGCGTATAAAAATGCTCCGCGAACACCATATAAATGTAATAAAGGCATGGCCTGCGCATCACGGCCGGCTACGTCACAGCCGATATGTTTGTAGTGGCATAGTCTGCTGGGGTCAACTGGTTTTGGCTGTGCGCATTCATGTGAGTTCACATCACCGGTAGGCAGCACCCACTGCGTTTCGCAGCAACGATATCGAGGAGGGAGTGCGAACAGCTAGCGGAAGCGCGCCGCCCTTTCCACTTTGTTTCCGACAGCGGCCGCTAGGAACGAGCCGATGTATGCAGGGTGCGAGGCTAGTCGACGCGCGCTCACGATAGTACAGTCGCACACGGTGCAGTGCCCGAGAACGTTATTGTATGTACACCTTGTCAACGAAAGCTCCCTAAGTGCCGCCATAGGCCTCTTCGAGCTGTTGCTAATTGCACGATCGAGTGTTGCTAATATGTACGTTAGCACGATTACATCTTTGTAATAAAAAGTGTTACTATATTCCTTATTATAGCGTTCATTGGTTCGCCTTTGCGTCAAAGCTGTGAATTTTTAATTGTATCTTTCTCAATTTTTCGGTCACAGACAAGATGGTGATCTTTTTCGCTCACAACTAACGAAGCCGACACCAGAATTTTCGTCAAACGAGCTCTTTAACGCTATCAACATTTAAAAAAAAAGACTACGTGTGCAGACGCAAGCGAGCGCCGCCTACATCTATGACGTCAGGAGAAGATAGCGTGGCAACCTGCAGGAAACAAGCATCGCCACCTGCATCTTCATTTCGCGAATTTTCTTTTTGTCTGTGCTCCCCGAGTGTGCTCGTGATTGTGTGTACCTTCTCATCTCTCTGCAACCTCTTTTCTCCCCTTTATCCCTTCCCAAGTGCAGGGTAGCAAACCGGACGTGCGTCTGGTTAACCTCCCTGCCTTTCCTTGCATCTTTATTTCTCTCTCTCTTCTTTTTCATCAAATGTCTTGTCGGTTGCTTTCGATATTGTGATGGAGTGATTCGCACGTGCGGCACTTGTTATTCTTCGCCTTATTATCTACAATAAATATGTCTTTAGGAACGCCGTTAGCGATATTTGCAAAGGTCAGGTGCAAGAAACAAAGTGATTGCACGTTAGCGTGTACATGCGAATACGTTATCTCTAAACTCACCAGCCTAGCCGAAGGCACAGTGCGGGCAAAGGTTGTGTTCTCGATGTTCGCTACGTTGGCGTCCGAGCATTTCTGTACGAAAGAGACAGACAAAAGAAGTGCACTGATTAGTTTGTTGAACAATGCCGTCAAATTATATATATATATATATATATATATATATATATATATATATATATATATATATATATATATATATATATATATATATATATATATATATATATATATATAGAATATGAAGAGACTGGCTTCGGTTGCCGTAAAATTAGGGGAAAATAAGTATACGCTTTTAAAAAAACTGTTTATTGGTGACGTTTCGATCGGAGACCGATCTTCATCAGACCCTGATGAAGACTAGTCTCCGATCGAAATGTCACCAACTGTTTTTTAGAGGCGTATACTTATTCCCCCTAATATATATATATATATATATATATATATATATATATATATATAGCAGATGGAACTTTAGTGAAAATATACGGCACCAAGCCAACGAAAGTCGTATTTTTTTCTACCTAATCAAGGGTGCGCGTGATTGATACTATCCCTACAAATTTTTTATATATATTACATGAACAGCTCACATACATGATCGCCCAGCCCCTGTTCTGGATTCACCACTGCACCATCTCGGGGTACTCCAAGTTTGCCGTTTGTGTGACGTCAGGTCAAGCTATCTACAGTTTCCCATTTTGCATTGAAGCCACGCAAACAGTAGAGACGAAGTTAGTTTCGAATACAACCAGCACGTACTCTATAACTTCGTCTCATTCAAACTTCGCCTTATTCTAACTTCGTCCACATTGTTTGCACTGCCTGAATCGAGGCATCGCATGTTTTTTTATTTTTTTTATTTATTTATTCATTTATTTATTTTATTTTCACCAAAACAGATACAATGGCGAAAATTGGGGAGACGGCAAAAAAAGCTGCAGTTATTGCAGCTTGACTAAGCACCGTCCACCCTACGTCAGCAATGACAGGGTGACTTCAATGTATACAGGCCAAGTCGTGATCTATAGAGGAACCGGAAGCGCGCCTTCCGAGAGCGCCTTTCGGTCTGCACAAGCGCGTGTGCGCAGACCAACTTCCGGGACAACGGCGGAAATTGCGAAACCATCTTCGTTCGAAGAGATGACGTCGGAGGAGGAGGATGAAACGGAACTGCCGGTCGGTACGCGTCGTCTCAAGGGTTCTTTCTCGTTGCACACGGCGAGCCGTAATCCAAAGCGAGGTATTACCGAACCATCGACTGGGCCTGCGCGAAGGACGTCCAATGGCGAGGAATATAAGACAGGAAATCCCGGTAATATATATATACCGGCGAACACTTCAGTTGAAGGCTTGGCTTATTTTGAGGAAAATAGATTTCTCCGAAAGTCGATACAACGTATCTCTTGAGGGATACTCGTAACTGAGGGATACACCACGACGAAAGAAATTGAAAACCCTATAAGCTCTGCCAGTCAGTTACAGTTTGGGAACGCTGAAAAAAAAAAGGAAAAAGAAATGAGCAGCGCGCGCACCGGAAAGGCAATATGTAAGACTGGACGTCAAGAGAAGGCAAGCCTGATTGACCGCCGCACGTGGATCGACCCGGAATTGCATTGCGCCCAAGATCGGCTCTAGCTCGCTCTTCTTTAAGGCAAAAAGAAAAAAAAATGCCGCCACATCCACGAAGTGAATGATGATGAGTGGGCGAAGCTCCGGAGGTAAACCTGGTAAACCATGAATCCTCCGTACATTTTGCCCACTCGATTTTATTGCAACGCTCCCCCTAGCGTACGTCGCCGCACTATATCGAACGATGACACGCGCCATATGTGGCATCATTCCTATTTTATAACACCTCGCATCTTTCGTAATCAACTACACGTACCGCCGTCTAGTTTATAACATCTTGCATCTTTTGGACGGACGGATGGACGGACGGACGGATGGATGGACGGACGGACGGACGGACGGATGGATGGATGGACGGATGGATGGACGGATGGATGGATGGATGGATGGATGGACGGATGGACGGATGAATATGGCTGTACCCTTTAGATCGGGCGGTGGCTAGCGTAATACTTAGAACTGAACGAGAGGTGGCTACATACAGGGGACGCACAGCCCACGCCTTAAGGAGCTTCGCTCCTAAAAAAAAATCATTACATGTCTCGCAGAAAGGTAGCCTTGCACTAAAAGGCGACACGGGGGAAGCGAAGTGAAATATGTCGCATGACATTTCGAAATGAGAAAGCAACACAAAAGCGAGTGAAAGCGTATAATAATAATATCTGTAGTTTTACGTCCCACCACCACGATATGATTGCGAGACGCGCCGTAGTGGAGAAGCTCCGGAAATTTTGACCACCCGGTGATTTTTTTTTTTAAGTGAACCGACATCGCGTCGCACACGGGGCTCTAGCATCTTGTCTGCATCGAAACGCGACCGCTCCAGCCCGGATCGAACCCGCGACCTCCGAATCAGCAGCCGAGCATCCGCAACATCTCCGCCGAGAACGCGAGCATGACTCTGCGTGTGTATGACGATACTCGTGCAGTGGGCACGGGAGATCGACACCCACGCAGTCGTCCTTACGAATCCCCCCTTTTTTTTTCGTCTATGTGCAGCTTTCCATGCTACTTATACCGTGGCTTCATCCGTCTCCTGGAGTGGCGGCGGACACTTCGCCCCCAGGCACTGCCATAGCTACTGCTATCGGGGCCGACGATCAACTGCTGGGGTGACAGCTTGCTTGATTGATTGATTGATATGTGGGGTTTAACGTCCCAAAACCACCATATGATTATGACAGACGCCGTATATTGGAGAAACGAAATTTTGAGCGCCTTGGGTTCTTTCATGAGCACACAGGCCTACAGCGATTTCATCTCTTTCGGAAATGAAGCCGCCGCAACCGGGATTCGATCCCGCGACTTGCGGGTCAGCAGCCGAGTATACCTTATAAAGGCCACCGCGGCGGGGCCCACGCTTCTTGCTACAGACCGTGAAAGGGCGTCATCATCGAAAGTGATGTTCCGCGACAGTATAAAGACCGCACTTGAACGGCCAGTCTTCGGTGGGCACGGGAGAGCGGCAGCCATGCAGTCGTCGTTCACAAATCCCCTTTTCTACTATGTGCAGGTTAGTCATAGGTCGACGCTTTATTCCAAGCGTAGGAGTAATACTTGCTTGCTGCTTCACCCATGGTCAAGTGTGTTGCTCTTAACAATATGTGAATGTGTATACTTGTTACAAAGCAACTTCCCGTGACGCTGAAATGAATCCCGGTCCCCGTGATATGTGAAATACTAGCTGCGATTGCCGCCCTCTCTGAAAATGTTGACATACGCCACAAGAAACTAGTGAATGCTTTCCATGAACTGAACGACAATCAAAAAGCACTATAGAACACAAAGTTAGCGACGTGACGAATCTGCTGACTGCTTTTGAAGCAATAGTTGAAAATATGTAATAGGTCTGAGACGGGAACCAGCTGGGAGCATAGTGTCACAAGCAGTTCAAATACAGAACGCATCAGTGCATACTGACATCCTTTGACCGCAAATAACACACACACAGAAAGTGAAGAAACACTCAACCACAAGCACAAGCGGCATCAGTGCAGTCCCGTTTGGATGATTGAGAAGACCGTTGGAGGCGCGACAATGTTTTGTTTTACGGAATTCCAGACTAGTCAGCTGAAACGTGGGCCAAGTCGAAAAGCTGTGCGTGCGAAGTGCTCACAAAACAGTTTAAGCTCCGATTATCGGATGGCGATATTTCCAGAGCACACAGACTAGGTAGTTTTAATGCCAACAAAACACGACCTAATACTGTCAACTTTTCTTCTACGAAGTAGAAAGGCGCGATATTTTCACAGAGAAGTAAAATCAAAATTTCCGGCATAACTGTCAGGGAAGATTTTTGTAGATCAACACACCAGTCACGTAAGAAATTCATCGAATTTAGTAAGTCAAAGGGCCAGTCACGGTTCACTGCGATATAACAGACTGATCATGAATAATAAATCGTACGCTTACTGCACAGTAGCCGACTCAGTGTACGAAATAGAACCAGCCGCTAAAAAAACGCACGGGAGGGAAAACGGCGGAGGAACTTCATCGTATTAAGAATAAAGAAAACGGCGTATCGCTACTCTCTACAAATGCACGAAGCGTTCTTAACAAACGCGTCGCGTAATCATCGGCCATCGATTCTTGCTCTGCTAATATAGCTGTGGTAACTGAGACCTGGCTCTCCGATAAAGTAAAGGACATTGAAAGCAATTATACGATATATATCGCTGGGACCGTGATGTGGGTTCATGGGGTGGTGTACTCATTGCTGTTTCTGATATGCTCGCGTCCTCAATTATTCCTACTGTATCGCCTTTAGAACTCCTTTGTCTAAACGTATCTATTGCGAATTGTGAATTTTCTGTGCATATTTATACCGTCACCCAGGTGCCTCATTTTCCTTTTGTAATGACTTCTACGATGTCCTTAATGGTCTTGTAGATACGTTTTCCAATACACCTGTATTCATTTTAGGTGATTTCAACTTTCGCACAATATTATGGAGTAATGATATTAACAGCACGAAAAGTGTTTCTTCTGGTTTACGGAATTCTTTAGAATATGTGCTGACTTTAATCTTACTCAATTTGTTCATCAACCGACTCGTACAACTGCAACGTCTTTCAGTATTCTTGACTAAATATGTACTACATTTCCAGAATTAGTTTCTGAGTGAACTGATCTCACAAGATTAAGTGATCCTTCACTGATTTAGTTTACCCTAACAACAGGCCACCACAAAAATACAAAAAATAAAATAACACGAGACTTCAATAGAGCTGACAGAAGCGGAATATACCAGCTGAATTAGAAGTACTTACAGAGGGTTATTTAATCAACTTTGATAATCACTCTGCTGAGAAAAACTGGACGCTGTATAAAGAAAAAGAATGTTTTACAAATGGTAACAGTTTGGAGATATGATATACGCATTCAAAGACATTTCGAAACGACTTGTCCATTTATCTCAGTTAATACCAATAAGGATTTAAAAA